TCTCCTACTTGAGTGAGCGATGCGTCCTCGTGGACAGCTGCTATACAATAATACATTTCCATTTACCTCTTTCTCCATATCCATACAAAATATCTATCAAACAAATAAAATTAAAGTTTTCTTTTGAAAAATGAAACCATTCCATCAGTATTTTCTTATGACGTTGTCACGTTCAACTATCGTCAGTAAACCGACTTTACAGACAACCGGTTTTTTTAATTGAAGACTTAAGGATTCAGTTAAAGCTTCATAAATAAGGAAAGAAGAAAAAGAAATGCGAAGTTTAGCTCGGGATAGGAAAGAGTGGAGGTACGTGTCCAACCAGTCTAAAGACTGATGACCTTATGATGATGATGATGACAAGATTATACAAATCCCTCAGCCAATTTAAAAAATTAGAACCGAACATATTAGTAGCGAAAGCTAGAAGCAAAGAGCTAAAATGAACCGGTCACTTCATCGACAGGGAAGAGAAACCTTACAAGAAGAAGACCACTAAGCTGGTTTAAAAAACCAAACGTTGGGAAAGGCATGAAAAAGCTTGCGAAAGACAGGAGGCAGTAGAAGTAGAACAATGGTGTGACCAAGTGGCACAATGGGTACAATGGCCATGAGAGTAGCAGTAGTAATGGTATTACAAAAATTCCTTGTAATTTTCATTATAAACCATAATATTTTCACTAAATCTTCTCTATCTTACAGTACCTCTTAATTTATTCAGTTATACCTTTGTTCTCTAATGGGTTGTATTTCTATAGTTTCTTTTGAATAATGAATAATCTTCACTATAATTTAAGCTCCCACATTGAACATATTTTACATTTGCATCGATGTTATTGTGTCTCCTGTTTGATGGGAATCCATCTATATCTTTCTTATGAATTTCTATTTCATATGCTTGACCCTTTCAGTAACATTATTTCCCATAAAGATGATAGAAATGTGTGATGATAAAGGTAAAAAGCCCAATAGACCCTGCAAATTCCAAAGTATTATCTATAGTTTGGACGTTTAAAATTGGCACAGCCCGCAATAAAATTGTCGTATTTACTTTCTTCTTTTAACTTACTAAATAGACTAGAGTAATTGAAGGGTGAACACTTACTTTAGTCGCTACAGACGTTGTAGAGAATTTCGTAAACATAGAAAAGAGATGTCAGGTAGGAATTGCAGCGGACACTAATAAATAAAAAGAAATAACATTACACCAATTGATGTGTAACAGAAAGAGTTGCAGATAAGCAGAATTTGAGCACGTTGCCAGCATCAGACTTTAATAAAAGTTCAACATTTTCAGGAATTTAGGAAAGGAAAGTCGCTTGTTTAAGATATATTTCCAATCAAGTAGTTATAAAGTCGACCTTGATCTTTTGCGTACCTATGCAAACTCTAACAGCTGCACCACTTACAATTATTCGATTATCTCTTTTCACTTTGTCTGCACTCCTCATTTATATTTCGTAACTTAACAAGGGTGTGTTAAAAACGCAACAAATGACTACAATCCCAAGTGGAAATAAGAAGAAAGATACGTCCATTCTCACTAATAATTTATTGCAGACTTTGCCAATTTTGATCGTACCAACTATACCTATAATTGTAGAATGGATTTTATTTTATTCAATTATTAAGAAACTATATTAAGTTAATGTTTTGTCCAGTAGAGGTTAAGGTTAATAGCATAAATTTGTCAGTACAATATTCTTCAATTTGCTACTAAAATTTAACAGAAAAATGAAATATCAATCCGATAAAGGTCATTTTATTATCTACTTCGTTAACTTATTTTCTAACTACACTAGTTGTACAAAAACTTTGTTGTTTTTACTTGTTGCCAAATGTTTAATCAATATTTTTAATCAAAAACTGCCGTTTTCAATTTTCTCTTGGTCAAATAAGATCGGAATTTGAGAAACGCTAGAAGGGAGCTTTTGTTAATTAGAATCGTTCAACTCACTTTTTATAAGTTGGTAATTACCTTGACCATTAATAAGATTACAAAAAGTACGAAATTCATTAAAATTTCACACAAAACATGTAAATGGAATGCATAGCAGTGTGACTGTTACGGTTAAGCAAGTTATAGCTTTTTGAGACTGTTTCCTTTGCATGTTAAGACTTTTTGAACAATAATAATTGAAAAGATATCGATAAAGTTTCAAGAGTTCATATTTTCTTGTTAACAAGGTAGCATACAATGAGAAATGTAAACAGTGCTAGTGTAGGAGAATAAAAATTTTGAAAGAAGATAGTTTATTTCTGGTTAGAAATTTATTGAATTCAATCCTATATCCTAAATTTCGAACTTGGAATCCTTTAAGAATCCTGAGAATGGATGGATGTTGATGGTTAACGAATAACGAAAGCAGCAAATACTGCTAATGCAGCTTTACTGCATATATAATCTATTAAATTATTGACGGTATATCGTCATCTATTGGCATTTGTTTTTAACTGTAATTTTTACATGTTTGAAAATTTATTAAAACTAAAAATTAAATTATTGAGGGATGTTTTAATCCCTATTGGATATTCACTATTATTACAGCTTTAAAAGTTTAGAAATTCGCAAACTCAATATCATCATCATAAGATCGTCAGTCCTAAGACTAGACACGCATCTTCACTCATTCTTATTCTGAGGCTACTCTTCGCATTTCCCTAAAACTAGAACATCCCACATCCTTAACTATTTTCGAACAGTAATCTAATCTAAGTCTACCTCTACTCCTCTTAACCTCCGTTTCTACTTCTAGTATGTCCCTGACTAGCCCTTCATGCCTGAGAAGGTGTCCTACCAACCTAGATCACCTATTTCTTATTGACTTGCATAAAGTCCTCTGTTAACCTATTCTTTCTAATACCTCTTCATTTCTAACCTTCTCTATCCACGGAAAATACCACAAATGGCGCGGAAAACGCCATCTGTAGTACGATGCTACATTTTAGGATTACGTATGCTCCAACAAGGACCATTTAAATATATGGATATCAACTTGCTGAAACGAATCCCGGCGTAGCTAACCTCAACGTGATAGGCACGTTATCATAATCGAATAAAATAATTCGAAGTGGTCTGTATTCTGTCGAAACTGCCAGACGCGGATCGCGATTTCGATCTTTTTAGATCTCATCAGCGCGTCGCAGACTGAATAAAAATATAAATTACATATGTTCGCACATATTACGCCACCATAAGTTTCAAAAGCAAAACAAACAAAATAAAACAAGTAATTCGGTAAAAGGCTGTACAGGAAGAACTATGATACTAGAAAAATTAACAGGCGTCCTTGACGTAAACCTTTTTAAAAGAACTTTTCGAAATAAGTTTCCTTAATGTGAGACACCGACAATAATTAAAAAAACGTCTGAAAGTAACAGTTGCATTGAGAACTAATGGGTTTTCCGATGATGACGTAAATTTTGACGATAGTACCTTTAAAAATATTTGAACTTTAATAAGGTTTGCCTTAGGGCCCGCATAAGTCATTGGTATGACACATTCTTGCCTAAAAATTGCTATAAAATTCAGGGACAGCGGTTTTTTTGTAATGCTTGTGCACATAATAATAAGTGCTTTTTTCCTAATGACACAAGAGATCTACGATTTATAAAAATATCTAGTAATTATTGTTGTTATTATAATTTCGGAAGCAGAGAAAACGTTTTTAAACTAATAATGAATTATTACTATTTTCTAAATAATCACGTATTGTTTCGCTATTGAGAGTGGGTATTACGCTACATAGGCGTATCAATGTATAGGTAATAACGTAATTAAAGGAGGGCCAGTAGTTTCTACGTTCTAGGGAGTTTTTCGTTAAATAAAAATGTCTTGTTTGGAGTTTACACTGTATTTCTTCCGCCTAGTCGCGTAACAAACGACAACCATAAAATCAAAATGTATATACGCGGCCTCAGTACCTACCGCAATACTAGCTTTTAATCGAAGCCCGAGTCGATGTTATAGTTTTTTTTTTTTTTTTAATGTATATTTGTTACTTTTTACGAATTTCCATTTTAGTATTATATTATATTAACCGAAGAATACTACTGTTTGATTGCTTAAAAGTGGTCATGCCCTCTAGCTTTGCCAGAGCTGTGCTAACATGCAGTATATTTAGCAGCTGGTGCTGGTACCGCGTACATTTTCATATTCCACAGAGAAGTATGACTTACTTGTGCTGGTGCTAAGTATATTTAATAATATCGCTTTTCTGTATTGGCAGGCCTGGTACCCAGCATCGGTGACGTGTGTAGTTTGTTATTCGGCAACATATTAATTAATTAATTTTGTCTTTCTACCTCATTAGAATTTAAACTTCGATATCAAATTGATTTAATACTGTTTCTTTTCTCGATTCCGTAAATAAGTATGTAACACAACTATTGGGCTTTTTTGGTTGACATTATTGACATTATAGTGTCTGATGTATTTTTTTACCTGATTCCATAATACAGTAGAACCTCTATAACTCAAACATCAAGAGAGACGCAAAAAAAAATTCTACTTGTAGAAGTTAAGATTTAATGTACCTACTTACATTGTCGGTAAATCCTTAATGTAGATAACTTAGTTTTCTTCGAACTATAGACGTAATAAATTTCAAATTATCGAGTTGTAAGATAAAACATTGCTATGTCGAGATACAGAGGTCCAATTTAATTTTTCGACTTACTAAGGAAAAATATGTACCAAAAAATGGCTTGCAGGGACTCACTGATTATTTTGACTAATAAAGGGTCGAGATTTCGAGTAATGGAGGTTTTGGGGTTTGAAGGAAAGGGAACGAAACATTTTTTTGAGTTTTTGAGATTTTCTACTTATCGAGGTTCGACTTAAAAAGGTTCTACTGTAGTTGGAAACGATGAGGTACATTAGAAACGATAAAGTGCCTAAGTACTAAATAATAAAGAGTATACTATTCGTAATAAAAATTATTTTTATCTGTTGTTAACTATTGAACGTAGTAAACGAAAATTGGTCTCTTTTTTTACAGGACGATTTGGGCGTGTTATTGTGACGGCCAATGATGGAGATCGGAACATGTTAAGGGTTAATGTCTGGAAGGAACTTCGGCTATTAGACGACATCATTAGGAACATAACTGTTTACGCCGATGACGAATATTTCAGATACGAAGATATATGCGCCCGTTGGATGGACGAATGTTTTAAAAACGACATACTTAACCTGGACGTTATCATGAACCAGGTAGGCACCATATCTTTATAATACCGTATTAGAGTAGATAAGCTTATATGTGTATAAATTTATAAATGTGTTGCTGGAACTGTTTTTTTATTGTTTTTTTTAAAGTAATGGTTTACAGGAATACATTAATATTATAATGTTAAAGTAATTTTCAAAGCAGTTGTACAAATCCAGTGATAATATTTTCTTTATTATCACACCGCTTAAAGTATGAGATTAAATTTTACGTTTTTAAGTGAGCAGTACCTAGAATTGGTACAGAAAATGGCCTCGTTAGAGACTTCTAAAATCCGTTTAATGGTAAACCTCATTTTTAAGCATGATAGTAGCCAGTTTTGCTTACGTTAATAAATAAGTACCTTCTCATATTATATAACTAAGTAAAATTGGTTTTTTGTCTAGTATAAGCTATGGAATTAATCTTAAAACACTGACATATATTATTTGTAGTGTCCCAAAATTGCCATAGAGAATGACTATTTAAATTTATTTAATGAGTACTCATCATCATGAGGTCGTCAGTCCTAGAACTGGTTTGAGACGCTCCTCCACTTTTTTTTATCCTTAGCTAATTTTCGCATTTCCGTGAAACGCATCCTTACCCTAGACAAAAATTTTCAGTCTCTCAGAGTGTTTTAGCGTCTCTCACAGTCTTTCACAGTCTCTCAGTTACTGCCTAGGTGTTTTTATGGATCTCTCACAGTCTCTGTATGAGAGACTCGAACGATAAAATTGTTAATTCACAGATTCGAGTCTCTCACAGAGAGACTGAATGAATAAAACTGAAAAAATGAGACTCGAGTCTCTTGTAGAAAGACTGGAATCTCTGAAATATGTTGAACTTAGAAAATATTAATGTCTATTGCGACACCACTTATTGAGAGATTCGAGTCTCTCGTTCAGAGACTGGATACGAAATGAGGATCTTTCCATTAGCGACTCGAGTATCTCATTCAGAGACGCTAAACAGTTTTTTGACAGTCTTTCGACAGTTTCTCTCAACGACACCAGTGAGACTCGATGAAAAACGGAGACTGAACATTTTTATCTCCTGTAATTATGTATTTATGAACAGTAATCTAAGTCTCCCTCTACTCTTCTTAACTTCTGTGTCTGTTTCTAATTTAGCTAGCCCTTCATACCTATCTACTTATTTCGCTTATTTCTTATTGACTTCCAGAGAGTTGTTGTCTTTGTTATTGTTGTTCTCCTATTTTTCCTATTACCACCCCGTTTCTAACCTTCTTTATCCACGGTATCCTCATCATTCGCCTGTAACACTACTTTTTAGACGCTCTAACCTATTATTTCTCGCCGCGCCCACCGTCTACGTTTAGTACCCATACACAGTCGTTCTCCACACATACCCCTTTAACAATCATTTTCGAACTTCTAAATTAACCGTTCGTGAGCATAGAGATAACTTTTTATTAACTCTTATTTTAACTATTTGTTAAAGCAAACTCTATCCTGCGCCATCCTCTCTTTTATATCTCTACTACTACCTGCAGTTATCTAGATATCAGTCACTTCTTCACTCTTTCGCTACTTTTCCTCCCCTTGCGTACCAATGCTTTTGTTTACTTTAATTTATTTTCATAGTATACTGCTATTTTATCAATACCACGTCCATTATTTTTATGGCTTTCTCTAAATCTTGCTTACCAGATATTAATACTGCTATATTATCTGCAAATCTAAGCACAGTAATCTTTTGTCCCTGAATATCTATCCCTAAAGTTGTCTTGTCTTTTAAAATAATTCTAAGTGGTCTGTATTCTGTCGAAACTGCCAGACGCGGATCGCGATTTCGATCTTTTTGGATCTCATCAGCGCGTCGCAGGCAGCTCCGACAGAACACAGACCAACATTTACCTGCTGTCTTAACAGTGCGTTTCAGAAAATACTACAAACGGCACAGTGAACGCCATCTGTAGCACGATGCTACATTTTAGGATTACGTATTTTTCAACAAGGTCCACTTGTGTGGATATCTACTTGCTGAAAACGAATCCCGGCGTAGCCAACCTCAACGTGATAAGCACGTTAGCTTAATCGAATAAAATAATTCTAATAATTAGTCTTGTCTTTGATGATGTTTATCGTGTCTTCGATAAATGACTGCCACGTTCGATATATTTCAGTTACTATTGATATAGATGTAATCAATTATTCCTAAGCTTCTTTGGCTTGAAATTCAATCAGAAGAGCCTTCCCAACTGTAGTCTAACCATAAAAAGATAAAAAAATAAATTAATTAATCGATAGATAACTTAATATAACGGTTTTGCTCGCGTTCATGTCCTAAATACGTTCAAAGATCATCGACAACCGCAATAAACTAAAATTTTTATCCCTCGAGAACAGTATGTGTTTTCTGGATAAAAAGTACCCTATGCCCTTTCGTGTACCTCTGGCAACGTGAGTACAAAATTTTATCATGATCGGTTGAGTAGTTGAAGCGTGAAATGGTAATAAACATACTCACATTCGCATTTATAATTTAAAATTAAGATGAAGTTTTCAAGTAACTTTACTTCCGATGTCTATTGTCGTGTTTTAACGTTGAAGTTTCAGCTATTTAACTAGTGTATTTTTAACATTACACTCAAAAAGGTTTGGGTAACTACCATGTCACCAGCCTTTATTGTGAAAAGACTTTACCACCTTTTTTTTATCTCAATTTGCCCTTCTAAAACTTTCGTTATTAATTGTATTGTTTGCGCTTTGCGTATGCCTAATCAATACCTAAACCTTACATAACTCTAACTAGAAGTTCTTCACCACTTTCTCTCCATTCGTTTTTTATTTCTCTCGGCCAGTTTTTTTTCCTAACTCAGTTTGTGGTTTCGAAATAAATAATTCTAGATGAGAACCAAACAGAACGTTTCGCACGCCGAGTTGTAAATTAACGGTTTGTACTTGATCTTGAACTGCAAGGAATTCGGAAGCAGTCAAGAACAATAGCGACAGTGCAAGCAGAGGCGGAAATACGTTAATTACTATCTAAACACAAAGCTTGATCTGTATAATAATATCTACCAAGTCATTCCTTGTACCATTGTCATTTTTTTTAAACGTGCGATGGGTGGACAAGCCTGACTCAAGCGGTTTTGTTTTTGTCCACTGCCTACTTTCAAAACTGGTCAAAAACACTTTTTAACAGGTCGATCTTGTTTATAAATTGATTGGGCTTTTCAGATAACGAAGCGTGACGTAATTATTATGCGATATCAACGGGATACCGGCTGTCCCATAGGTAATCAACATGTTTGTTAACAGTATAGATGTAGATAGAAAATAGATAATGTGCAAGAAGTAGTAAATTTAATAATCAGTTATGGATTATAAAAAAATTATCAATTATTTTGATTAATCGATTATTCTGATTAATTTATTTAATAGAAGTAATCGATTAAACAAATTATTATTGCGGATAATCACCTGAAGATGATAGATACAGGAACATTTGCTGATTATAACTTCATCCACAATATCAAGTGATTACATAGTTGATGAACAATTTGATTAATTTATTTTTCCAATTACTTTAAGTACTTTATTGTTTCGATTAACTTAATTTTTTTATTAATCGATTGTTTGATTAACGAGCCATCCGAAATAAGACAAATTTCAAACAAGTTTTTCTTTATCATGACATAAAAATCTACAAATTTAGTATTTTGACCCATTGAGCTAACATCACTGAAGCAGGACTTTTATACTCAAAAATGCTAGTTTTTCTTTCACAAGTGAAAAATTATTTCTAAAGCTCATATGTGACGTGACAGATATCTGTCATGTTCATTGAATGAAATAGAGAAAGTATCAAGATTAAAAAGTCCAAAAAAATATTAATACGTCAATGAAAATGATAAAACATACACTTATAGCAATCTTTTCCTAATTTCTAAATTAATCGTTCGTCAACCCAGAAGTAACTTCTTTTTGTTAAAATCGACTGGATTGTGCGCTATTCTTTGTTAAATAAATAAAATAATTTCTCAAAAACTAAAAAATTAGCCACAAAACGATTGCCTTTGTATTATTAAACCGTTGAATAGTCGTTTTCTTGCAGTTGATGACATTATGGTTGCTCTTAAACCACATAACCGTTTTCCAAAAACTTCTAACGGCTTTTGTAGTTTGGAGTTGAGACGAAAACAATAAACTAGATGACTTACGACGACAGTTGAACTAACGTTGTCCTATTATTAATACATTAACAGCAATAGTGTCAAGTTTAGCATCTATTAGTAAGAAAATGTCACAAATATTACTTAAAAGACAATATAATTAGCACAGGTTTGTAAACTCAGTTTAAAATATTAATTAGCAAAACTTCACACAATATTTTATATAGAAGAATTTGAAGAAGATGCTTTTTTTATAATCAAGAAGCCCTAGATAAAAATTTTCAGTCTCTCTCCAGTCTCTCAGTCTTTCAGCGTCTCTGAGATCATCTCGCACAGTCTTTCACAGTTATTGCCTAGGTGTTTTTATGGATCTCTCACAGTCTCTGTATGAGATTCGGACGATAAAATTGTTAATTCAGAGATTCGAGTATCTCACAGAGAGACTGAATAAATAAAACTGAACAATTGAGAGACTCGAGTCTCTCGTAGAAAGACTGGGATCTCTGAAATATGTTGAACCATATCTATCGAGACACCACTTATTGAGAGATTCGAGTCTCTCGTTCAGAGATTCGAGTCTCTCGTAGAAAGACTGGGATCTGTGTTTTAACCATGTCTATCGAGACACCACTTATTGAGAGATTCGAGTCTCTCGTTCAGAGATTCGAGTCTCTCGTTCAGAGACTGGATACGACAAGAGGATCTCTCTACGAACGACTCGAGTCTCTTGTTCAGAGACGACGCTAAACGGTTTTTTGACAGTCTATCATCGATAGTCTCTCTCAGCGACAGCAGAGAGACTCGATGAGAGACGGAGACTCGAGTCTCGCTTTTACAGACTCTGAGAGACTGAACATTTTTATC